AAGAATTAGCAAGCATAGTATGGGGAGTTAAAACTTTTCAGCCTTACCTTTTTGGTCAACAGTTCAATATTATAACAGATCATCGGGCATTGGTGTGGATTTTCAACATAAAGGACTCCGGCTCACGGCTAACGCGGTGGCGTTTAAAATTGGAAGAACACCAATACACCATTCATTACAAACCTGGCACTATTTATACAAATGCAGATGCTTTAAGTTGGATACATAAAGTCGTCACCAGATCATCAAAGGCTGCAAAGAACTCAAAATATCCAGACAATGCAGAACCATCAGAACATTTCAAACATCCGAATGCTCAAAACTCTCATCAAGATAGCTCTTCTGGAGAAATACAAATTACCAAAAATTATCAGGAATTTCTGCAAGCAAATTCCAGTCTTAAGAAAACAACTAAAAAAATTAGCGAAGTATCAGGGATTTTATTTGAAATGGATTCTAACATTTCCTTGGTATGTTGCATTTCGGGAGATTTCGAGATGACACATGGAGTAGCTGTACAAAAGAGAAGAAAATTTGGCAACCTGGCACAGGTATGTAGACTACAGAAAAAGGTTACCGAGGTAGCATCACTAGAAATAGCAGACAGAAACATATTCTACCTCATTACCAAAGAAAAGTTCTGGCAAAAGCCGACCTGCGCAGATATTTTTCAAAGTCTTCAGAATCTCAAGAAAATTTGACAAGAGTGGAAAGTCACGCGACTTGCTTGTCCGCGTTTAGCGATAGATCGGGATGGTATCAAATGGGTAACCGTCCAGAGCATGCTATACTACACGTTCCGAAATCGAAATAAAAATCGTACTGCAAGAACAGTTATCGAAAGAAGACCAGTTACGAATCATTCGAGAATTCCACGAGACTCCTTTGGGGGGGACATCAAGGAATAAATTAGATATATCAAAGAATATTACAGCAACATCATTGGAAAGGAATGAGACAGATGATCAAAACATATATCCTTTCCTGTGAAACTTGCCAATGTCCGAAAATACCAAATCGATCAGTAAAACAACCAATGGTTATAACCACAACCTCTTCCGGACACTTTGAGAAACTCTTCATTTATATTGTAGGACCATTTCCTAAATCTCATAAAGGGAATATATTCATCTCAACTCTTCAATGTGACCTTTCTAAATTCACATGGGCAGTCCCCATGATAAATCATCAAGCAAATACTGTAGCATACCATTTTGTAACCCAATTTATGTGCTTACATGGACTTCCGAAGAGTCTTGTCACAGACTGTGGAACTGAATTTCTGAATCACGTATTCAAAGAAGTATATCAACTCCTTAATATCAAACAAACTTCAACCAAAAAATACCATCCTCAAAGTTATGGGTCTCTAGAGCATAGCCACAGAACATTAGGGTAGTACCTACGAAGTTTTGTTGACAAAGATCCTCAAAATTGAGACACTTATGTTCCATTTGTGATGTTCTGTCATAATTCAACAGTTCATACTGCAACCAAATATTAACCATATCAATTAGTTTATGGTAATGAGATAACAGTTCCTCGTTCATTCACTCGAGATCCAGAACCTCAATACAACTATGAGGATTATCACTTTGAGATGAAGAAACAAATGCATTAAGCTCATAAATTAGCGAGAGCAGAGCTATTGGAAAGCAAACACAAATCTAAACAGCGTTATGATAAATCAATACCACATCTAAACCTGGCCGAATGAGATAGAGTTCTAATACAAGACAAGGCCTGTAAGGGAAAACTAGCTCAAAAATGGTTAGGTCCTTACCCCATCGTAGATATCCAACCAGAATCACCAAAATTAAGAAAACCGAACCTGTAAAGGTACACCGGAACCTTTTAAAATAATTTCATGAAAGAACATAACTATGTTTCAGACTCAGCCTAATTTCAATAAGCATCACCGAACCTTAAATCAATGATTTGGACCATACAAATCATCACCAAGTATTCAATCTAACGTCATTCAAGAACCAACAAGAAATCTATCATGAGTCAAATGGAGTAGCCAGATTGTCACATGTTAGTTGGGAATTGGTAATCTCCTTGGATGTACAATTATTAATTTCAAAATACCATGTCATCATGGCTCACTTTGAAGCAACCACGACCATTTGCAAAAATATGAAGAACAGATTTGGTAGTGTGGAAATTGAGGAGATTTGGTCTCTGTTTATACAAACATTTTCTAGAGTGACTTTGAAATATTTAAACGAGATTGAAGCTTATCACTGAAGTCTTATGTTAGCAATTGGTAATGATTGCAATAGAGTTCGACAGGGATTGGGGCAAACCTTCAAGCGTATGGCCAACGTTTTGTATGGTGTATGCTCAAAGATTGATGTTGAATTCATTATAAATCAAATAACAGAACTAAACTGAAGCAAAGTTCTTAGCAAAAGCAATATTCCGGAATAGATCAGATTCCTACAAGCAGAAGTAAATCACTCTACACAACAATTAGAACTTCAACAACAAAAAGTAGAACAAAATCTCCAGTACCTACAATCACAAGCAAACACTACAATCCAAAACCTTAATAAATTAGCGTTCAGAACCAAAGTAATAGAACAATCATTACTATTTAAACTAGTATTAAATAAGTAAGCTTATAAAACACAGAACCTTATCTCCATAATAAACACGGCCTTAGATGGAAAAATTCACACTAGTGTCTTTACTCCACAGCACATTATTAAAGAACTTCTCAAAATTAAGGTAGACTTGCCGATTGGAAATACTTTTCCATTGGAAGTAAATGCAGAATCTCTTAATTATATTCTCCGAATTTCTGAAAAAACAATATTCTTTAAAGACAACTATCTTATTTATGTAATAGAAATCCCTAAAGCCCTATAGTGTTTGTAGAGGTTATCAACATATCCAACATTGTTCAGAATCGGATGTATATGTAGTTTCATTACTAGTGAATAATCAATTTAATCCAAACCATTGCAAATACAAATTCGTTTCCTTAAAAGCCCCTATATGCATCAGTTGGTGAAAACTAATTCATGGATCTATTATACCCAACCGGAAGTAGGTACCATCACTTGCATAAATCCAATAGAAAATTCAAAGATAGAAATCGAGGGCGTAAGCAGAATAACTAAACCCCCATATTGTAAAATTAATCTCAGAAACCCTATATTATTTTCTAATAACAAACCTTATTTTCTGCTATAATATCTGAATGATATTATGGCAGAAAATTCTAAGAAGGAACCGTTACACACATTGACAGATATGGTCAAAACAATTATTCCTTAAAACCTTACTAATAAAATCCTAATTCAAAATTTGAACCAACTGACTAATAAAGCAGTTGATTTAAATAAACTTTCACATACCCTGGCTGAACCTTAGTTAATTTTTAACATTAACATTCACGTTATTGACGTTGCTGGACTCACAAGAGGAAAAAACGTACGTACGACCATGGATAACCGAGCAAGATGGAAAACATGTGGACAAACCCAAAACAACCGTAAGAATGGCCGACGGACACACACGGGAAACGGACGGAAGATGCTGTTATTACGTACACTAACCTCGCTATTGATTGAGGTGGTAGTGCAGCGCGGTGGGTAATGGAATTGTTAGGACGAGAGTAGGTAATTGACGATATCAACCGTAGGTTATGTACATGATAATATTATTATTTTTACTGTAGTAATACACACTTGTGGACGGGGGGAGCACTTAACCTACGTACTTAAATTCTAACAATTTAGTTGTATATCATAGATTAAGTACCATTATTCAACATTACGTGTCCGCGACGTGGTGAATTCGGTGACGTAAATCAACCGGTGCGGTACAGCCCCATGATCTGGACAGTGGACGGTGGGGCAAAAACGCCGGTGAATGTTGAAGGTATGTTCTACACGTCGGCGAATAGTACGGCACGACGGTAGACGGATGCTCAACTGACGAACATAACTTCGAGATAGGAAGATGGCGAACACTGTTCAGCGAACCAACGGAAACCAAAACACGCAGCTGACCATCCACACGAACAGAACAACACACGACGAACTCGCGTATCAGCGATTGTGATATGATATCCGACCGGCCGCGTGATATGCTGGCGACTGGTTGTCGTTAGGCGTAACGATCGATCACCAGCGGAGTGCCGGCCAGTGCAATTTACGCACGCTGTCGTTGTCGCATGTTGCGTGTAGCGGCAACAGCTGTATAGAGGCAAAAATCGCAAACACTATAGCTGGTATTCGAAGCGAAAATTCTAATGGAACAAGTGGCAGACATGCTGATAGGCCATGACCTTTTAACGCAAGAAGAAGCAGTATAGAACTACAAAGCGGCCACTATCCACCTAGGCTCAGAGAAACGAACAACGGTCAGCTGACCTCGGGGGGGGGGAAACCCAAATACTAGCCGTCGCGGATTGCTTCAGCAGGTGGGTGAAGGCCTACCCAATCGGGACAGCAACCACAAGGATTATAGTCGACACGATCGAAAAGGAATTCTGTTCACGTTTCGGATACCCACGCGTCATACTATCAGACAATGGACCACAGTTCGTATCAAATCTAATGAAGGATACAATAACCAAATGGGGAACCGAAGTATGAATGACCCCAATAAACCATCCACGGACAAACCCAGTTAAACGGCGAAACCAAGAAGTCTAAAAAATGTTACAAACACAATTACTGGGGAAACCCCACAGGACATGGGACTGGGTTTTACCATCGATAGTGTTCGCCATAAGAAACAGGAAAAACCAAAACACAGGTTACTCTCCCCCGAGTTAGTACTAGGCAAAGAACCGGGGGACTGGTTCCTCCAGTGGGGAGGAAGTCAGGGGGGTAAATCCCCAGACCAGGAAAACCAATAACTGAACAAACACACCAACAACCACGGCTGGGAAGCCCCAAACACAAAGTAGGCAACTGGGTCTACTAACGGAACCACCCACCATCCAGGGGGGACCAAGGATTCTATGCAGGTTTCACCCCAAAATGGTTGGGACCAATGAGGCTAAGAAAGTACCTGGGAAGCGGGGTATTCACCACCGAAACCATAGTTTGTGCTTTAAACGTACGACACCTACGGAAGAACCCAATATTGACCACATTACTATTACAGTTGACAAGCCCATATCCACAGCGAGAGGATCCTTGAAGACGCTTCAACCTGACGAACTCAGACTACCGTCCCAAGTCAGAGGAACTGACCCGGACCTGGCAAATAGGCACCAACCGAACCGTTACCAGGAGTATGGAGACCCAGACCCCAGGAGCAGAGGAGAGAGGGGGCGCCGTGACGTCGTGAGGGACGCAGACGAGACCACCCCTAACACCCGTACCAGGACAAGTGGCGAGGTGGGCCATAGTGACAACTACCTCAGAACTGGGAACGCACGAAATGGTGCAGATAGTGCTGGACCAGGGGGCAGTTACCCTATCGGCCAGGGTGAGCTGGGTGTTCAGGATCGACAAGCGGACCTCGTACACCTCAGGACCGGCCAACAACATACCGGCCAGACTTCATCACCACGATGGGCCAGGACCTACACGGCGGTAGTGGTACGGCCCAAACCCCCAGTGGGCCTATGGTTCCCGATGGTGCCCACGGATACCACTGGGAATACTACCACGAGGAGGATCGGGAGTGTCTAGACCAAGGTGCAGTTGAAAGCTGTACTTCAACCACCCCAGACCAACCACGAGGCGGAAGAAGAAGAGAACGACTCGGCGCTGGAGCTCAGCGTCCTCGACGAGGATCTCCCGGACATCGATCTCCTGATGAGAAAAATTCATGAGTGACTAAGCACTCGTGCCTCCGAGCCCGGTCGAACGAACCACCCGGTCTATGGGGGAGCATGTCATGCTCGTTACCCAACATACAGGTACCACTCGCGAAGTCCTCTCTGCTCGACCAGTCGCTGGTACGCGTGACCCGGAGCGGAGAGGGGGCGCGCCATGCCATGGGTGGGGACAATGGTTTCGGCCGGTGTCCGGGCCTGCTGCGCGGCGGGCTCTTCTATCCTGAGTCCGAGTTCAAGTGTTCGCAACTCGTCCTCATTCTATTAAATGCTATATTATATATCTTGTGTGTAACGTTAACGAGTAAATAATTTCATACATTATATTACCACTCTTCCGTTGTTTGTTTGATATCCACCCCGCGGGTTCGTATCACGGTCATCTGCTTTCTTCTCGTAACTAACTAGCATCGCGTCAACAGTATGTGACCTATTACCAAATAGCAACGTAAAAATATGACTTGGATATTTTAAAGCTAAGATAGGTCAAGAACCTCTTTTCAGACCGACAATAGGGAAAAATAGCTTACATACGAACTCAAATGACAATGGTACAAGACTAATAAATTTTACTATGACACGAAATATAGTAATAAGTAGCAATATCTTCCCTCATAAAAACATACACAAACAAACATGGGTATCGCCAGATGGGTGAACGAGAAACCAGGTAGATCAGGTAGAAGTATATGGTAGAATAAAAGATGTATAATGGATGTACGTAGCATGAGAGGTAGTAGTGGAATATCAGATCATTTCATTGTGAGAACCAAGGTCAGATTTAGACTATCAAAAAATGGAAAGAGCGAAAAGAACCTGTCAAAAAGGTTAACATTGGACCACTAAAGAATTCTCAGATGGCAGAACGATACAAAAATGATAGGTTAAATCAGCGATCAGCGGAAGAAGAAAGCAGTATGGATGAGATATGGGAAAAAACCGAGAAATCTGTCAAGAAAATGGTAGAGGAAGATCTGGGATTTCAAAGAAAATGATCAATTAATAAATAGTTTTATGAAAAATGCAGGACTGCCATGGTAGAATGAGACAACGCAAGAACAAAAATGCTAAGAGATCCAAGTGAAGCCAACAAACGAGAATTAGCCTTACAACAAAGAAAAGCAAAACAGATAATCAATAAAAACAAACGAATTTGGGAGAAACCCAGAATAGAAACTATAGAAAATAGCTACAAAAATAATACAAAACTATTCTTTGAAAAGGCAAACGAAGTTAAAAATGGATTTATACCAAGATCATCAATAATGAAAGAAGACAAGGGAACTTTAGTTTCCGATAAAGAAGAAGTAACAAAAGAATACAAAAAGGTTTTCTAGAAAATGTTGAAGGTATCAACCCAGTCAGAAACGAATGGTAATAATTTTGTCACAGTAGAGCAATATTTAGAAGAACCCTCATTGGAAGAAGTTGAAATAGCAGTCGGAATGCTAAAGGGAGGAAAGGCACCATGAGAAGATTCAATATTGTCGGAACTTTTAAAGAACGGAAGAAGTACTTAAATGAAAAACTTAAAAAAGCTGATATATAAAATATGGCGAAAAGAAACAATTCCAAAACCATGGCAGGTGTTAGTACTGTGTCCAATATATAAAAAAGAAGATGTAATGGACTGCGAAACTATAATGTTCTCTAGAACATAATTTTAAATAGACTAAAACCGTACGCTAAAGAAATAGTAGGAGTATACCAAGCAGGTTTTACAGCTGGAAAATTAACCACTGACCAAATACATGTTAACAAACAAATAACAGGGAAGAGTCATGAATTCGATAAAGATATGTACATGCTATTTGTAGACTTTAAACAAGAATATGACTCAATAGTAAGAAGTACGCTATGGAATGTAATGATTGCACTAGGAATACCAGCTTAACTCGTTAGAATGGTAAAAGCATGTATGATAAAAGCAAGGTGCAAAGTTAAGTTCAACTCGGTAATATCAGAGGAGTTTACAGTGAATACAGTGGTAAGACAGGGTGATGCGCTGTCTCCAGTATTATTTAACATTGCGTTGGAATCGGTAGTTAGAGGAATTCTGCAAAGTGAGCTACAAGGATTGAATATAGGACAAGGAAAACAGATAGCATTGGCCACGTACGCAGATGATATAGTTGTAATAAAAGAGACAGAAGATAGCCTCAAGAGAACAGCCGACATTTTAAGTGAGGAATCGGGTAAGATTGGGCTTATCATTAATGAAAACAAAACCAAATTCATGATAGTATCTAGGAGAGAACATCCACAAAACGCTATAACAGTAAAAGACATGTCATTTGAAAGAGTTTGGAACTTTAAATACCTAGGAGTAGACATAAACTCGCAGATAGCCACGAAGAAATACACAGGAGAATCACAGCTGGCAACAAATTCTATTGTTCATTTGTCCAATTATTTAAATCTAAAATATTACAAAAAAAAAAACAAAAATCAAATTATATAAGACCCTAGTTGACTAATTTTACTGTATGCTTGTGGAGCATGGGCGTCTACCAAATCTAACGAAAACAAATTAATGATTTTCAAAATCCTACGAAGAATATTTAAACCAAAGGGAGGCTATGAAATAAGATCAAACAGATAGCTGAATACTCAATTTAACGAGTCCAATATAGCTGCCACATTCGAGAGCCAGAGAATAAGATGGGCAGGACACGTCTGGAGAGCAGAAGACCAACTTATACTGGCCATGACGAAATGGAAGCCGAACAAAAGTCGACCGAGAGGGAGGACCGAGTCAAGGACGACCTCAGATTGTTGGGAGTTATGAACGGAGAAGAATTGGCAGAACATAGAGAAGCATGGAGGAAGATAATAGTAGAAGCAGCAAAGGGCCTAAATGGCCTAGAATAAGTTTAAAAAAATGTGTTATATCCAAGTCTGAGCATAAACGAGTTAAAAAGTTTAAGTTAAGTTAAAAGTTAAATTAGTTTTAACTTTTTGACTTAACTTTTTTGAATTTAATTTTCATTAACTTAATTTACAGCTAATCTGATTTTTATTGATATAAACTTAATAAATAACAAGTTAATTTTAATCAAATCTAAGTTACATTAATGTATGAATAATTAAATAATAAATACAATACAATTATTACTAATGATCCATATTGCATAAACATTTAATTTTTATTATCTTAAACCATATTACCGACTATTTATACGTTAAAAAATAAAAAATAAATAACTTAACTTAATTATTATTGTAATTTGGTTGTAATTTCCCTTATAACTTTTAACTTAACTGAGTTAAAATAAAAATAAAGATAACTACTAACTTTAACTTTTTCAAATGTTTTCTACCAACTCAACTTTTTTTTTTTTTTCCTGTTTTAACCGACGACGCCGCGGGATCTGCTTTCGCATTGCTTCCGCGGCGACCAACTCAACTTAACTCAATTAAAAATTATCATAAATTAGCCCATGCTTGGTTAAATATATTTCTAAGAATATCATATTAAAATTGTACCCCTACCAACAGCAATTACAAGCCGTCACTGAGTGCATGCATAATTATTCGTTTTAAACAACTAGTGAGGGTAAAACATATGTATTATGTAAGCAACGCTTAAGTGTAAAAAATTATGCACCTGTGATTTTTGTTTTTTTAGGTCACAAACTTTATTCTAAGAAAGCTGATTTTTACAAATACGATTATAGGCGTGTAAAATAAAATAGCACTCAAACAATTTAAAAACCAAAACCATTAATCGTCAAACCTCAAATCGGTTTCATACAATTTTATAAATTAATAATTACAATATTTAAAATGTTCTAGGAACATGAGTTATTACGAAGAGATTAGAGATTACAATGTATATTTAAATGTATTAATACAAGTGCTGATGATTATTTTATAATCCTGAAATTCATTCTAAATTTGCTATAAACATTCAATTTTATGTTGTTTAGAATTAAAACGGTATACAAGTTGTGCGTTTATCGTTATTTAGAACTAAAACGATATGCAAGTCTTGCGTTTATAGTTATTTAAAACAGTATTAATACCAATTAAATTTAAAAATAATAACTAGTGCGGGTAGGTTATGGCTCAAATACATAGGCGTAAATAGTGTTTGATTTTTTTTTTTTTGGGGGGGGGGGGGGGCTGTAGAAAAGGTCTGTACTTGATGCTTGTAACGTTACAGAATTTTGTCCTTTGTATTACACAGTATACGAGCGTACCCATAACCGTTGATTTTATAATATAATAGTATATTATAAAATCAATGCCATAACATTATTATCGGCCGGTGATTATACCCATACCTATTGTCAGCGAACCCGATAGTGTGCTTTAAGGGAATTTGCGAACGTCTATTATTTCATCCAAAATATACCAATCTTTTGTCAATCACACCGATTAAACTGTTAACGCGATATAACTTTTAAAAACTGATTTGAATGTGTCAATATGTCTACTTGAGATCGATCAGTCCACTTTTTAAAATTTTGATCTCCAACTCCTTTAAATTTGGTTCAAATATTTAAAAAATTACAAAATTTTAAGTGTTGATTATTCCTTATTTAAATCGAAAATCTTAAAATGTGGCTTGATCGATCTCAAGTGGACATTTGAAGGAATTAAAATCAGTTTTCAGAAGTTTTATCGCGTCATTAGGTCCATCGGTAGGATTGACAAAAAGTACATACAAATTAGCATACATTTACATACTATTTACGCGCGCGACGTCGTAGCGGTGACTTGTGCAGTGCGTGCCGCGTGCGTAAGTGTTTTTCTACTACTCCTTCACTAAATAACTTTGTTCTAAGAATCTGCAGTTATAGACCGGAAGGTTAGGTATACGCAATAGCCATTTCTACGAATAATGTCATATTGGGACGTTTAGAGTATACATTATAACACATAATTTATTATATCCATTGAAACTAATATTATTGTAAAATACTAAATAGTGTCTGCTTGTACAACTACAGTATGCATTTAACATTTCAGCTATAACATTGTTTATCGAGTTTCACGCTGTATGCATAATTTCCACTTTCTTACTTGAATGTAACATTGTTTATTGTTTTTTTTTTATCTAATAAAGATTATAAACAGTGCAATTGGTTTCAAAAATGGATAACAATACTTTTAAAATTAAAAAGCAAAAAATTAGATTATCCCGAAGAAAAAAACACAAAGGGCATGCATTATCACTACGAAAATAGCAATTCCATCGTAAAAAAATACGGTAAGGTGAAATAAAACTTATTTTTTGTTTTTGTTTGACTTAGAAATTTTAATTTACATGGTTTTAAATAGATATTTTATCCTAGTGTTGTTATTTTATTTTGAAGGTAAACTCTAATTCTTCAACTTTGCCGGATCCGGATGAACAACAAAACAAAGGCATGCAACATCAGCTTATTATTGAATTGTTCGTAAATTTATTTTATTTCCTATCTCTCTCTATGGTTTCAATCCGTAGATTGGTCTGCAGCCATCTTCCAGTCTTCTCTCTTATCTGCCTTCCTTTTCATTTCCACATACGAGTTACATCATTGGTCCTTTATTAGGTGTTGAATGAATTCCAATCTTGGTCTACCCCTACGGTTATTTCCCTCTATTGTTCCTTCTATTATCAATTTCAACAATCCTTCGTGTCTCATGATATGGCCTATCCATTCATTCCGCCTTCTGACTATGTTATTCCATAGTTACTTTCCATCTGATAGTCTTTCCAGTACTTCTACATTGGTTACTCTGTCCACCCAGCTTATCCTTAGCATCCTTCTATAGCACCACATTTCATACGCCTCAAGTCTTCTTTTTTCCTCCGTTGTTATTGTCCAGGTTTCACACCCGTACAGGGCAATGCTCCATACATACGTCTTTAACAGATTCTTTCTTATTTTCAGACTCATGCTTCTTGATGTAAATATAGTTTTCTTTTTGTTAAAGGCTATTTTAGCTTGACAGATACGTTTTATAATTTCAATTCTGTTTCTTCCATCCTTGCTTCCCAGGTATGTAAACTCATCTACTTGTTCTATTGTTTGATTTCGTATTTTTATCTGTATTTTTGTATTATTTTCCCTTTCACATACCAGTACTTTTGTTTTCTTCATATTTTTTCTCAATTCCAGCTCTTTTTCGAATGTTTTATCCATAGCATTAATTTTCTATAAGAGGCGATTTAATGACGCTATTATTGTTTTTGTTTATCTAAGCTGTATATTTTTAAATTAAATATTAGAAAAATTAATATATTTTTGATTCTGGGTAGAGCGATGAATGTAGTGGATTTACAATGATGTGTTTTTTCTATCTATCATTAAGATTTAGGGTAGTAAAAATGCTCCATTTTTCGATCTCAGAATCATCTCTGATAGAAAAGTGAATGCAATTAGTACCTACTTTTGGGAGCACAAAATTGAAAATGTTCAGTAGTTTTATACTTTACCTAACCAAAAAGTTACACTATTTATAGGCTTATAGTCATTATGTCGTTGGAAGATATTTTATCGATGGTGATGTCGTGTACGTTTTGACTAGCTAAGGAGGCTGCTTCGTCGGCCATTTCGTTTCCTTTTATGCCTACATGGAACCATGGAGGAGTTTTTTGAAAGATGGTTTTTTCTTCGACCGAGGTATGAATATTCATTGTGGTGCATAGCCTGGAATAGATGTCCTGTATTGTAGTGAGTTTTTTGTGGCGTTGCAGTTGATGATTGTGTTTTGGTTTTTGAAGAGAGCTGTATGACTTATATGATCAGGAGTAGTTTTCCTTTTTATGCAGTATAATAACGTGTTTTTGTCTCTTATGAGTTGGAGAGGCATCTCACCCGCGTAGCATAGAATACTTTCTGTGGGGCTTGTTCTGAAGGCGTATTCCCTCATGGTGTATAGGATCTAACAATTTGAGGTGTCTGGGTTTAACTGTGTTGTAGACTTGGGATCCGTAGTTAATTTTTGATATTATTAATGATTTATATAAGTTGAGCAAGGACGTTTTGTCTGCTCCCCATGTGTGGTGGGCGAGGGTTTTGATAATGTTCAGTTTGGCCTTACATACTGTTTTTAGATGTTTTAGATGCAAAGTCCAGTTTAATTTGCGATCGAAAATCATTCCAAGTATTCGGATTGAGTTGTGAAAAAGAATTTTAATGTCATTAAGGTAGAGTTTCTGGATGGTGTCTGAATTGTGGTTGTATTTTATGCATTTACTTTTGGAGGGGGAGAAAATGAATCCGGATTTATGAGCAAATTCTTGTAAGGAGAGAAGTGAGTTATTGAGGATTTCCAAGGTGGTGTGTTATGATGTTGTGCTTCCACTGCAATAAATGTAGCAGTCGTCGGTGAATATTATATGTTAAGTGGGTTTTTGGATTTGATGGAATATGTCATGTACTGCAATGAGGAACAAGGTTACACTGAGGACCGATCCTTGGGGAAGTCCGTTTTTAGTGGGATGTGCGTTAGAGAGGTGGTTATGAGCTTTTACTTGTAGTGAGCGATTCGTAAGAAAATTGTTGAGAAACGTGAAGATCTTTCCAGTTATGCCCCATTTTTTAATAATTTGAAGTATTCTGTTGCGCCACACCATATCATATTCTTTTTCAAGGTCAAGTGCGATAAGAATAAGATGTTGTTTGGTACTCATTGCATTACAGATGTCCGTGTGTAAGCTTACTAGGTGGTCTAGGGTAGAGTGATTGCGTCGAAAACCACATTGGTTGTTTGGTAGGAGCTTAGTTACTTCAAGGTGACATACTAGTCGTTTGTTTACCATTTTTTCCAAAAGTTTGCTTAGTGTGCTTATGAGAGATATGGGTCTGTAATTGGATATATTAAATCTGTTTTTATCTGGTTTGGGGATTGGGATGATTATCGCCTTGCGCCATGAATCTGGGTAAAAACCTTTTTCCCATATGAGGTTATATATTTGGAGTAGTTGATTCATACTGTTGCTAGGGAGGTTTTTGAGGAAAGAGTATGGGATATCGTCTGGACCAGGACTTTTGGTATTGCAGTTTGATATAGCGTCCAACATTTCTGAGATGCTGAAAGGCATATTTAAGAGATTAATATGGGGGTGAGGTTCGAACTCTAGTTCATTGGTGATATATTTTTCGTAATTGTATTTAATTGTGATAAAGGCAGGGTCGTAGTTTGTGTAACTGCTATTTTTTCGGAAGACTTCCGCAAAGGCTTCGGATATGTTCGATGGTGTTGAGAGAGAAGTATTGTTATGCTGGAGAGTGGGGGGAAGGCGATTGAATGGAATGCCTTTTATTGATTTGATTTTATTCCATATTTCAGTCGAGGAGGTGTTGATATTTATAGAATTTGTATATTTTTGCAATGATTCTTTTTTGCTTTTTTTGGTGATGTATGTGGAGTATGCCCTTGCTTTTTTGAGTTCTATATGATCAAGTATGGAATTGGATTTTTTGAATTTGTTGAGACATTTTTTGTAGAGATTTATCGATTTATTACATTCATGGTTCCACCAGGGTACTAGTTTTCTTTCGGTACTGTTTTTGGTTTTTCCAATTGCCTTGGAAGCGGCCTCTAGGAAGGTCTGTGAAGTTTTCGACTATAGAGTTGATAGACGTTTGATTGATGGTAGATTCTATTTTTATTGGGTTTTCCGTGGTCGATTGGCTCAAGAAGTCGCTGTATAGGTTCCAATTTGGATTTTTGGTGTTCCATTTGGAAGGGAAAGGTATAGGTGGAGATTGGTCTAATAATTGTATAGATATCGGCCAGTGATCGCTGCAATTGTATTCGGTAAGTACTTTCCATTTGGTATTAGGTGCAAGAGTGGAGTTAGATATTGACAGATCTATGGCTGAGAAGGAGTTGTTTGCTACGTTATGTCTGGTGGGTTCTCCGGTGTTTAGGAGAATGATTTGGTCGTTGTGGAGAAAATGTTCTACGATTTCCCCTCTAGCATCCGTGTAGTTTGACCCCCATATAGGGTTGCGGCTATTAAAGTCGCCTAAAAAAAGAAAAGGTTTTTTTTGTTGACTGATTATGTTGTTTAAGTCGTTAAGATGTAGATTGGAGCTGTCTGGCAAGTAGATGTTGCAGATACAAATTGGGTTTTTGAGAAGTATAGAGACTGCTATGACTTCGAGGGGAGATTGTATAGGGATTTCTTTGCTTTCGATGAGGTTATCGACGTAAATTGCGACGCCTCGACTTGCTCGGAAATTTGTTTGGCGATTTTTGAAAAACCATCGAATCCACGTATTGAGTAGGTTTTGTTAGGTTTTAAGTTTGTTTCTTGGAAACAAAAGGCAATGGGTTTGATGGCAGATTTGACTCGATGGATGTCGGTGTAGTGTTTTTGGAGGCCGTTTATGTTCCATTGAATGATAGAATCCACGATATAATGATTTTAGAATTATTGAGTCAGGATTGGTATGATGATTAAATATGTTTAATTTCTTGGGAGTGTTTTGTTTGGAGGTGGTTATTATGTTTTGTTTAGACATATTTAGTTTTTGGTATAACTTTGTTTAAGAGGTTGAGATTGGAAAAACAGATTTCTAAGCTTCGTTAGGCGTGATTTGAGTGCTTTGTCCTTTATTTTAGGGTGAATTTGTTCGATTATGTCAATTAAGGTTGGGATGCTTGTGTTTATACTTTCGATGAGTGTGTGTATATTCATTGATTTATTGTTAAAGTTGTCCAGGATGTATTTGAATTGAATGTATGTGATTGGTAAGGATTCGTTGGCGGTGAAGTGATCGATGATTGGATTTAGTTTTTCATCTACATTTGTATCGAGACTGCTGGACGAATTTGAGCGGGATTGTAATTTGGGTTTCTTGGTGGTTTTTTCATTTTTTTTGGCTAAGGTAGATGGCAATAAAGCATTACGGGAGTCCGGAGGTTTGGAGGATGAAGAATCGGACATCAGTCGTTTCTGTGTTTCAATTGGTGCGCGTGACGGTGCTTCGTCGAGATGACTTTGAGATAAATGGAAAAATTTGGTTTCTTCGAGATTTTCGGTCAAATCCGAATGGGTTTGATCAAGTATATCAATCGTTGGACTTGTTGGAGAGCGGATGTTTTCAATTAATTCGGTGTGATTTATAGTAAAGTCATAGGGTATGTTTAGTTCGTTTGGGCTGGATGTTGTACTTTTTTCTTGTGTATCAACTATATTTTTACAATTATTTGAGATGTGTCCGCTGGCTTTGCATAGAAAACAAGTTACTATGCCATCGGTGAAGAAAATTCTGAAATGAGATTCGTTTGTCGTAATTATTAGTGAATTTGGGAGTTTAGGAATGTCTTCGCGTTTAATGAATAGTTGTCTTCGGAAGTTCATTATATGTTCGAAACCTTCAATATTGATACCCGCTTTGAGGTGGCTGATTTGTGATATGGTCATATGGGAAATATGTTTAAGTTATTTGGGGCGTTTGTAATTGCTTGGTTAGATATAAATGGGCATACATTTGATGTAATATATCTTTTTGCCGGGTTTAGCAATCTACGTATAGGTATAATTTGATCATTGATATTGATTGATTGGGTTTGTTGAAATAAATTGTCGAGTATTTGTTTGCTGGACAAGAATATGCAAAAACGGTTATTCGAGATTCTAGAGACAAACGTTATATTTTTAGGAGAAACAATCTTTCCTATTGCAAGAACATAATCTTTTTGTGGTATTCCATCAATAGTGTTAAAGACTAAGGCTTGTTCACGGCTGGGGTTTTTTACGAATGGCTCTTAGCAGGAAAAATTTTTTGTAGAATCCATGACGTCATATCTCATGAAACTGTGATAAGACGGACTATGGTAATAATGATAACGAGAATATCAATGTTTTGTTTTTCAAATTTCAACTGAAAGTCTGAAACTTGAATTTCCTTTTACTTCACTTAAATAAAGTTCTATAAGTTTAAACTTTTACGAACAACATTATGTATTCCTGTGAAGTTTGCGAAGCAAAGTTTCAATCAATTTCAGGTTTTAACAAGCATATGAGGATTAAACATAAAGACTTAAAAAAAACTTAAGTTATTAAACGTAACTTGTACACATGCAATGATTGTAACGAAACTTTTGACTTAAAAAAGGTTTTGATTCAGCATGTCAAAAGCCATTTGATGAAAAATGTACAGCAATCATATGTACAGTAATCGAAATCCTTTTCATCAATGTCTGGATTGATTGTTCATTTACATTTTACAGAGTATACATAATGTAAATATTGAGACGAAATTGCTACATTTTGAAAATATAGAAGGTAAACTAATTTATTTCTACATTGTTGGTGTTGTATGTATGTGCTCTGACTCAGTGAATACCATTATTGCTGGTAAATATCGTACTTGGTAATTTTTTTATTTGTGTCTATTATTGTTTAATTCTGCCTAGGATAACAATATAAGTACCTGGAGAAATGTTGTGTTTTTTGTGTTTTATTGTGAAACTGTCGATGACTGGATCAGTTTATCAGTTTATCAGTATAAAGTATTCATTATGTGAACTTTATTCATAAGTACAACACAAATGTTTGACCACTCCTATTTATAAATTATGATTACCTATCTATTAACTATTATTATCTATAAATTATTGACATTTTAATTATTTTATTTAAATGATTTATGATTAACACTTCAATTTTTTTGTTGCAATATTATTTTTACTATTTTTTTTTATGTTATTTCAGAGTTGTATATTATAATTGTAACCAAAATGTATTAACTGACAACTAGATATTTCCAAAATTAAATTTTCATATTTATTAAGTCGTCAAAGATGTATTATGTATTTATGTTATCGTACCCAGAATATTTATGTATCTACTTTTATTTAAGTCAAATATTTACCAGAAATAATTGTATTCACTGAGCCAGACCACCTGCATACAACACCAACAATGTAGTAATAAACTAGTTAACCTATCTCCTCTTCATCGTTTAATATGTTCCGGAGTTCTCACCCTTTTTGGATTATCAGGATTATCTTTAGTTTCACTGTTAATTTTAAAAGAATTAATAATTTAATATAACACAAAATATGATTTAACAATAGGCAAACGATGTGAAGAACTGAGAACTGACTGATTAAGATCAATAAAATAGTACTGCTCTTGCTAATTATAAATAATAATTGCTATTAAAATAGTCGTTACTCCCTATTTACTTATTAGCAGAGAGGTAATAGTATAGTAAAATACTTTAATATACCATTTTATAAAATAAAAATAATATTATATAATATTATATTATAATTTACTATATTTTACTATATTAATAGGTAGTATTATTATTTGATATTCTCGTTATCATTGTTATCATAGTCTGTCTTATCACAGTTTCATGAGATATGACATCATGGATTCTACAAACAATTTTTCCTGCTAAGAGCCATTCGTGGTTTTTTTCCATGGCGACAGCAGATGCTAAGTTTATATTGTTATTGTTCGTCTTATTCGGTGAAGATATTATAGGTAGGTCATTAGTGGATATTATGGACACATACTAGTTGCGGACAAATTATTTTAGGTCAATATTATAATTTATAACATAACAATTGCGGACACGCGTTTCGTTGTCATAATACTAATTGCGTACAGAGATTATTTTTAATAAAAACCACGTGAGTTGCGGACACAAATATTTCCCTTCACCACTTTTCAGGACTTAGGACAAGCTACCAAAAAATTGGTAGGTGGGGTTAAAAATATGTGTGTCTTGCAAAAGTGCAATCGTTATTTTTAAAATTATTTAAAGTTACTATATTATATTATATTATATTATTATTTAAAGTTTTAAATTTTGTGGCAAAAATTGTTTTGCTCGTTTTAAATTTCGTACAGCAGTACAATTCATTTTAGTATAACTACTAGTCTGTACTTCATTTAAGGCCTCGATCAATTGGTATATATTAGGGTGACTACGATAAAACATACCATTAAGTTTAGCATGAAAACTTTCACATGCGTTTGTGGTTCGTGAAATAGAAGAAGAAAATTCTGCCCATATTTCTGGAGGAAACATTGCGGAATCATTATTTATATAGTTCAAAAAAACATAATCTACAAAATCGTTTATAGCAGTACAGTCAGCCGGCATCGTAGACATTAAGTCATCTGTAAAGCAGTCATCCACTTCGTTTGGTGACAAAAACGGTAGACCAAAAAATGTTTTTAAAAAGTTCCCCTTTTCATCTTTAGTACTATATACTTTAGCTAGACCTAAAACTGTATTTTTCGGTACCAAGCTTGTCCGAGATGGAACCGACACCCTTTTATTTTGCTCATTGGCCATACTAGATGAACAGCTGAGTGGATAGATTGTTAAAAATCAATATGAAAAGTGGTTGGTAGTAGTGGTGAACGCTGTTTCAAAAACTCGAGTGCTGTACAATAATCAGTAACTGATTTTCCCATCAATAAACAAAAAAATAATGGTACGTAAATATTATTTTTTACGCCATGAACCACGAACAATTGATTAAACAGAGATGGACAGCTTGAAAAAGTACCATCCATCAAAACAGCATCACACTTTTTAAAAAAATTTAAATTTTTAATTGTAGAGAAGCACACAACACCTTTATTATTGTCAATGTGAATAATCCATTTTTCACCTCCATTGGTGTGTAATTTATCTACTACGTCGGGAACCATCGCATAAAATTCCAAAAGTGTTTTAAGTAATATTGGATACTTACTCATACGAGCAGTGTGAATATTTTTTCGGATTAAATTTATATCCTTTGAGTCTAATATATTTAAATCATCTGGTGTAATCTCAGAATGTATAATTTTGCTGGGACGTTCACATAGCTGCTCTACCGCTTTACGTTTGACACTGTTACTTAATTTCTGCCGCACAAGTGATCGTTTCTCATCGGCCGCGTGATTATTATGTTCAAGATTATTGTCTATTTCAACACCACGTGTATCAAATTTTAAAAATGCATTACACCTTTTAATTGTACGCGCCCACCGTTGAATTTCATTTTTCATTATGCGATGAAAACGGAACTTAAAACTGTCAATCACACGTAACTCTTTAAGTTTTTCACTATACATTTTTATACAGAAAAATTGGAAATAAACGAACAGAAAGACGACACTACGACAGATAAGCAAGCAAGTAAGGTTGTCGATAAACTGATTAAACATATTTTTTGACAGTCGTTTCAAAAGCGCCTGCACCATCTTATATGCTGATAAAAAATATATATATATATATATCTATCGTTAATATCGAACAGTAATTTCCCAACGTCCACAATCGTTAATATCAAAAATAAAAATTGGACATTTGTCCGTAATTCATATCTTATATTTGTGTCCGCAATTCGTATGTTACCTTTTTAGATTTCGTCCGCAACTCACATGGTTTTTGTCACTTTGTCCGCAATTAGGAAACACCGGATATTATATTATTATTTGTGTGTTGAGCGATAGTGACTGCGGTGCGGTTGTTATCGCTGGACGGTGTTGTCGTGGCGGAGAGTAGAAGAGGGTTCTTGATTGCGATGCGTGAGGTATGATTGCTCGTTGGGGTGGAGGGAACACCGACATTAAGGTCAGTGCCTTGCACTACTATGTTTTTGGTTGATTGCTGAATCGACGCGGTATTGTGAGATGGTTTATTTATTTTTGTTTTAAGTGTAGAAATGGTTGATTTTGAGATGGGTTTGTAAGAACGATTGGGTGTGGAGTTTTTGGGCGTAGTGCCCTTGGGGTTTTTATTCATTTCGTGAATATAGGCGGTTGGGTGTTATATTAGTTAAAACATATTACCTTTCCGAATGTCGACGTGATTTACTGTGCTATCGAACGAGCTATAAAACGAACAGTGCGATAAGAACACGTGTTGCACGGTCGGCTGTTGAACACGAACTGTACAAATGCTTATAACTCACAAACTAAGTTACCTATCGTAAAAACCCCACATGCAAACACAGATAATGTTCTTACCATCAGGTTTTATAATAGGTCAATTTACTATAATTTTCAAACTAACGGAGCTAATTGTCATCTACTATGCGTAAATTTGCTATGTTATGCACTTGTAAGACGGAGACAACAATAATATGTGTATAGCGTCCTCTTAAAATCTAACCCATTCGTTACAATGCCATGCTCGATTACTACTGTACAGCAGAGCGGTACCCTATTGTCCACCTTTTTGATTTTAAAATACTATTTTATTATAATTTCAAAAACTTAATTTCGTTTCTAAATTACAGACCTGTTGGTAGTAATGGTAGCATTGAAGATACTAACGTGGTGGAGTACTTCAACTAACATAAATGATGGTTCACCAATTGTTTATGATACACCATCTTTAAATTATCAGTAATAAACAATCTTAAATTTATTTATAATTATATTAACAATAAAAATGTAATGAAGAATATTTTTTTTACCTTTATTTACAGAGAACACATAGTTGACATCATTGATGGTAGACGAATAGTAGACTTAAAATATATGTTTGAAACAATTTCTAAAATAAAACACGAACCATTTGGTTGTAATTTTTCTAATTTATGTCTTATAAAAGAATGTCGATCAGGGTTTTACAGTAAATTTATTTTTAAATGCAAAGTATGTAAGACGAAGTGTCCTCAGAATGCCCAAAAAACACTACCAATAAATTTAGCTTAACACCTAAAGATGAGCATAACGAAAAAAAATTAAAGTTTATGGAAGTACAATTGGATAATTTAATTTTAAAGAAAACACATATATATTACTATCAAGTACAATGGCAACTTCATATAACTAAACATCTTGTTACTTTGTTGTATGGACACCAAAAGGTAAAATAAAGTTTTTTCCGTTATAATAATATTATGTTATTATTTATTTTTGTATTATTGTAGGAATTTGTGTTGATAAAATAGAACGTGATGATATAATATTTTGTAAAAACAAAATGAAAGTAATGTTGTCCGATTTTTACTTACATCACATGTTACTAGAAATACTTAATCCTCAATTAAACATACCTAAAGGCTAAAATGTATTTTATACTAATAAATGTATTTGTATTGTAAATAATGTATTTTATGCTAATAGTATTTTTTATTATGATTCTAAATATGCTTGATATAAAATAATGATATATTTTAATAAACTATAATAATATTTACATTATAATTTTATTAAATGTATTTATTTTTAAAATAAATTATATTGTTATAGTACCTATTATTTATCCTTACATGGTGAAGTTGAGTTTTACTTGTTTTTAAAATATATTATAAGTAATAGTATTTATTTATTTTATACTTACAATTTGATCATTTCATGAATATAATTTTATTTTATTTACCGACAATTAATAGTTGAATAAATAATTCCTTACTAACTAATGACCATAGAATCCGATGTTTTATATAAAGATCAATAAAAAAAAAATTCCATATTAACAACATTATACAACAACGGATGTGTAATTATGATATTATCATCACCCGTATTTCAAAATAATATAATATGTTCCCAGAACCTCCGCTCGCGCCGCTTCCCAATCAAGTCGGTGGTGTGACTTACACTAATGATCATTTACTACGCATTTTTTTATTTGAAAAAATATGTACAGTAGCTGATTCGGGGTAGGGGCACATGTCCCCCTGTCAATTTTCTGTCCACAATTTGTAATGTAACTACGAGTATCATATAAATGAAAAATTCAGTTAATATCTAAGAATATGATTATTATTATCAATTAAAATTAAAATTATACAATTTATATATGCGGGGGCCATACCTATCAAAATATAGAAGATCTGCTATTATGATGTAGGGGTATATCAGCCGTGAAGACTGAGTATTGAAGTAAAATAGAGCGTACGAAATCGTGCTTAAACTTATCAACTTATAATGTACCTAAATTTGAAAAACACGAGTATAAAAATATGTTTGATATATTATTATTTAAGATTTTATGAAGTTGACATAGATGAAATTGATATAGAAGTGGAATACCGTTCATTATATCTAGTTTACCAACAAGTGTATGACAAAACTATTGAAACTGGAGTAACTGGACCTTTAAAATTAAATGAAGTATTGAAGTTCATGATATCACGAGACATGGTTTCTTCGTATTCAAATGTATATACTTTGTATAAAATATTTTATACACTTCCAGTCAGCAGTGCAACTGCAGAAAGAAGTTTTAGCCGTCTAAAACTTCTCAAAACATGCCCTTCGCTCAACTATGACTAAAGACCGGCTATCAAATTTGACCATATGAGCATAGAAAGCAACATAGCTCAAACCATTGATTTTGATAACGTAATAAGTACATTAATTGTATTAATGAAAAAGCGCAGAAAGTTATTGTAATGTTCTAGTTCTTGACTGTTATTTTCATGTAACCACTTGTTTATTAGGTATTATAAAATATACATTTTATAAATGTATTAATTTTGACTTTTGTATTGTATTAGAATTTAGAACCACCTTCTATAACTCTTATGAAAATAAAATCAGTCATTGAAAACTAAAATAATAAATATGTACCTATAATCCCTTCTAATGATTACATATGCCAGGTAAATTTTTTAATTGAATATAAATTTGAATGCAACAAATAAAAATAACAATTAATTAAATATAGCTTTAATACTAAAGCTTGTAAGTAAATGTTACAATTTACTTAAAAATATGTTATGACTCGTGTAATATTATAGTTATATTGAATGTTGGTATCAAAATGTGATGTAAATAACTAATTAGGTAAATCGCGAGCGCATTGGGCGACTTTGTAATACCTAGTTGGTTGAAGTTTCTACACAGTGGCTTCTCGTAAGTAATATAGACCAACAGTTCTAAAATTCTGGGTACGCCACTGTGAAGCCTGCTAAATATCAAATACTGTTTGCACCTATTGTTGGAAGTATTTTTTGATGAGAGTTATTGTGATACAATGAATGTAGCCATTTGCTTGTTTCGTATTCGCCAGGCATATTCAGTATCGGAGAAGTCGAAAGATGAACAATAATTTCACGTTTTGAATATTGAGGATTTGGTGGTGGGATTGCTTAGTTAGTTTTATTATTGACAGTGTTTAATGTGCGACGACATATAAGAGACAGTAAGTTTGACCTTGGACTACACGGACTGCAGTGACCAGTTTTACTTGACTTTATAAATTATTATAATTTATAATCTATTATTTGATTGTCAAGTAAAAACATACTTATTTAAATTAATTAAAAATTATAAATGTTGACAATTAGGTTATCTTGGGTAGGGTGCTTCAGTGCTTGCAGACGCACAGTTGATTTATTTGATGCAAAAATAAAAGATAAATTGAAGAATGAGCTAGTAGGATAGAAGGTATAATATTATATTGACTTAATTGGGAACTGGTAAGGCCAGCATGACGTGACTGTGTATTATAATATATTTTTATATCTAACTGTAACTAAAATCAAATAATTTCAATAGAAATTCAATTAATATCTATTTAATATAATAATAATCCTACTCAAAGTAATAGGTACTACGTTTTGAAAGTAATGTGTAATTCCGTATAAATGTATAATAAATCCATTCATAAAATAAATAATAATTAGGTAATTAATATAATGTTCATACTTCATTTAAATTTCTTAAATTGTGCACCCCTCAGATTTTCAAAAGGAGCTTAGGCACCGCTCGCCCCCTCTCAAAATACAGCCCCATGCACAGGGGAGGACAGGCTCCTCCATAGCGGCCCTGGAATTTTTTTCAAGCGGCCCCTCGCCCATAATCCATTGTCTAAGGTCTTTTTTTTTGTGACATCGACGACGGTGCCGGAACTGCTTAAGCATTATATTTACATATTGTCTATGGTCTAATCACTCTAATCGTATACACTATTATATTAATTATAATGGAAAATATTATTATATTATAAATAATTAATATATTTTATAAATATATTTAATAAATGGTAAATAAATTGAACGTTTTAAAAATCGATCAAGTTCATTAAAAATATAAACGTCGTTCAAGTTCACGTTCTATTTGAAAAAACGAGTGACGTTCACTATATTATATGAACGTGAATGTGTGAACGACGTTCTTTCCAATTTCCAAACACTAATATCTTTTTATATAGTTATTTCTAATAATTAATTAATGATAAATAAGTACCTACCGGCTACCATAAAATAGGGTGAATAGAAACAAATGCAAATGTAAAATTGTGTATCTTTGATGTCCACCCTATGTGCTACCTGCAATAGGTATATTTATTTTATATATAATCGTCAACCAGTAGATACAAAATTATATTTTCCTTCTGTGGCGTACCAACACTATACAAAGCTACATAGGTATCATAATTGTTTTTACTCTTTATAGTGTTCAATAAAACAGGATTGAACATTATTTTACTATTTATAGTGTTTAGTTATCCATCATTTTAAAAAAAAACACTTATGAGTAAAAAATATTTGAAATCTCCTATATAAACTTTAAAGTTTTTCTCTTTTTATTTCTGAAGAACCTCAATATGTAATATAACTCAATAGTAATTTATCATGTTAATAAAGTTATAATTTATATTATAGTCATAATTATTAATATACATAAATTATAATTGAACAACATAAATTAATAATAAAAGTTAATAATAATAAAGTTATTAATAATCTAAAAATGTTACGTTCGGATGCAAAGCCTTGGTTTTTATCAGCATTTTTATTCAAATACTATAGAAAAATATAAAATATGTGGTACCTACAAAAA